ATGGAAAAATAAAGCTCTGCTTCGTTGTTATTTTTCCAATTGATTTTTCGATTGGATCAGCAAAATCAGAAACCGTTTCGGGAATGTATTCGCTCTGTAAGTTTTCTTTCGAATAACGGTTACGCCATACAACTTTTGGCTTTGCAAGCAATTTCATAGTCAAGTTTCTCTATAAACACGAGCTTTTATCAAGCATATGCGACATATGAACGTCTACACGAGAACAAACGGATAAAGTTTCTAAAGTCGAAAATTGTGCACTTTTAGAAGATTTTGAGTTGGTTTTAGATGACAACGATATTGATAGCGACTTGAATCTTATTGTTTTGTATTATTTTGTAACATAAACTCTCTCAACTGATTGTGCTTCCGTTTCCGCGGAGCAATTTCTTAGACGACTTCCTAACAAAGACATTCCACCAAATACCTTGATAGAATACACTTCCTTTGTTCTAACGGAGCTCGGGGCGAAGTTAAGTTGTAGGAACCGGTCCCACTGCTAATTTAAATGAGCTGTGGTCCGAAGTCAACGACTGCGAACCTACAGAAATCTACTTTCAGAAATTCAACTCACGAGGGATTGGTGGACGTTGTCGAGAAGAACTTCGTTCACACTTTAAAAATATTTCCTAATTTGTGAGGAAGGATGGTTTTGTAAAGAGAAAGGAAAGTTGCTGATGGTGAACGAAAATTTCCATTCTCCAACCCGACTCCGACATTTTCAACGTTAAACTTTAAAGGTCACATGTATAAATGCAATTTTCACCCTGTCAGAAGGAGGTGGGAATTAATTTAATTAGGTTCGCCAAGGGTTTTGGTATGAGGATAATTTATGGCGGAACTTATGCCTTGGATAATTTTGATTAGAATGTTGAACAAACTGTAAAAATTGATTAATATTTTTTAGGATTTTTTTTGGAATGTCAATAACAACGATAACAAATGGGTGAAACATTCCCGTCAAAGTACTACTAGATTTATTATTACCCGTTTCTATTATGTGAATTCTGTTGGGTTTTGGGGGTAAACGCAGAATTATAAAAAAAATAACACAGGGCATTCGGCATCCGGCGTTTGTACAACGCCGGTCTCATTGTCTGTTAAATTACTGGTTCCATGGCGTTGCAGTCTACCGCACAATAGCCCCACGGGACTGGCCGTGTCAAATTTATTACGGTAATGAAGACAGATTGCCACTTCGCCACTTTCCCATCGTTACCTGAGTTATTCCGCGCTCGGGAGTTAAGTGCAAGGGGCTCCGTTTAATACTGAATGTGAGCTTACACGGTCCGCTAAACTTGTACGGGGCTATTAGGCATGCGGTGTCTTCGACAAGCGAACAACTTTGGTGGAGGCGCTGGCACTCAAACTTCTAAAACAACTGTTAAATTGACTGGAACTTACAACATACTAAATTATAATTGACTATCAACTACATTTTAATATCTAATCATAATATTCGATGTAATCCTTTAGATATCTCTGTATTTTAGTTTATTTTAAAAAAGACTTTCACATCTAATAGTTCCTTTTTGAACCGAAACTGGAACGACCTCGCTCGATTTTCCTAAATATTTGATATCCCATAGGGTACCGTCCCCTGAGGCGGGATATATGCGTCCTGGAATCGGACAGAGGCCCGAAAGTCTGGAGTTCGACTTTCCATACCTCTTCCTTGTATATCAATATTTGCCTGTTTGTAATGCACGTTCGCTGACACCACCTACCGTGGAATGGGATTTGAATAAAAAGCGTTTTCTTTCGAAGATTTCGATTTGCAGTTTGCTTCATTTTTTATAAATATTGTAATTTTTCCATACAAAGGAAGATTCCGTTTTGGTGTACACTTTACCAATTTGTTTTAAACAGATTTTGCCCAAGTTGTTCACCTTTGCTTTGGAAAATGTATTTAAATAATTGGATTGGGAAAATGTCGGTACTGATCAGTTTAGACATAGAGGAACTGGAAAACATGTTACAAGATCTAAGCGAACACTCAAAGAAAATAGGAAATAGCAGAATGCTAGAAATATTGCAACATTTCTAATGATATCTGAAGATAGTCTGCCAAGTGTTATCATATTAAAGAAAGGTGATGATATTTTATAGTGTAATCCTATCTACACTAGTTTTAGTAACGTCAGAGTAACTCAAACGTTAGATATGATTTAATGCTTACATTTTGCCATTTCGACTTGTGAGCTTAATTAAAATTATAATTTAAAGGGTTTAACTACTACAAATTTAGGTTATAGTGTATCTCTTTTTGTTTCAAGAAAATACACTCTCAGTAGAGATGGTTGTTTCCACATCTAAATCTTCACTTAAATATTCAGCCAAATCGGGTTACGTCTCGTTGGGTCCTCTCGCGAGAGTCCTTATTGTACCTGGGAAATTAAGACACGTACGCGATCCCCCTTGGCACACGTGCATCCTTTTCCCCGCGGGAAAATGGAATTTACCCTGTCGTTCTGGGAGACGGGACTTTGGTATTCGGCACGTGTGGGGTTGATGTCGTTGAAGCAACATCAGCCCCAATTCCGGCGCCCTAATGTCACCCTCTACTTATTACGCCAATTTGTCAAGGTTACCTTCAAAACCTTTCGGTTCGTTTTTATCTTAAAATTCCTTTTGATTTATAGTTATTAATTCTAAAATCTCCTAATGGTAATCTGGAGCATGTCGCGACGCCCTTCATTAGTTCACCCTGCCGAAAGTAGGGGGTTCATGCTGTGGGCATAGACAAAAGGGAGTTAAAAGGGATGCAAGTTAAGAGAGGGGGGCGCCCAGATTGGTTAATGGCTCCGACGTCGTCCGGAAGTACGACTCGAGATAATCAATACGCCGTACTACGGCTCGATTGTTTACCCCCCATTTACACCGCATCTTCACATGCAGTTAATTAGAGGACACTAGGGATCCCGCAAAGGCACTGATACTGTTTGCGGTAATTAACTCGAAACGGTGAGCTTCAAATTTGATTTCAGGAGAAAATCCGATAATCACGGTGTATGTCTTTATTATAAAATGATGTGGGAGATTTTTGGTGTAAATTAACTTAATTGAGTTTTTATCTAAATGTGTAATCTGGATAAATAATTCTTAACGGAACTACCCCATACGTTTTATAACACATTAGTCATGTAGGGACCATAATCGTATTTTACCACGTTTGTATAATTCATATGGTAACGCATAACCACGTACAAGCTTTATGGATGCTACGTATTAGATTACGTGGAATTATAAATTCTAATATTCCTTCAAAGTTAAACATTAAATAATTAATTAATGATTGATAAATTGCTTGCTCATTAAAGTAAAAGTAAATGTTCTTTGGAAACGACCGGTTAGCAAGAGTAAGTAAAAGCAAATTCGAGTAATTAAATCGTTGTAATCTTGGCAATTTATTTTATCATTTCGGCTTTCCTTCCGGGCTTTTTGGAATGTTTAATTTCATTAGGTCGATGGTGAACGTTTAAAACAGGTCAAAGGTTACGACGTCGAGGGTCCTACGCTCGAATTACGGGGCTACCTTTGAACGACACCCCCTTCAAACAAACCGGACGATTATAAAGGAAACGAAAGCAGGGTTTCCGCCACGTTTCGGGTTTTCATCGTAACAAAACTGCATTTGAGTTGAAATATTCTTCAGGGTTGAGTCGAGCCATAATAGAAGGTATGAAACAGGTTGTAAAAAGGAAAATGTATTTGGATACATCAAAGAAAATACAGTAAAACCGCGATATAACGGATCTAGTTAGAACGCGTTAGATTGTTATATATTTTTCATTGAACTAAAACTGGAACTAACACCTAGAAACATTCGGGTTTAGCCCGCAACTTTCTAGTTCTGGGTCTAGTGTTAGTTCTAGTTTTACTTGTTATTCAATGCTAGATTGTTGTACATTTTTATTGAACTAAAAGTAGAACTAACAAATATAGAACGCAGCGGTGTTTTAATCCATTATAACGAGATTTTGCTATATTTAAAAAAACTAAATTTTTTTTTGTGTTCATAATTGTGTGCAGTGATAAATGAATTTTATTAAACCAATCAAATATTTTAAGCTTCCTGCTGAACCGGAAGCTAATTACACCGGATAATTCATCAAAGCTTTCGCGCTCGACGGTCCGCAGCGGATACATCCTCTTCAGTGATGCGGGGGAGCCCCTGTTTCCATTATCAAATCACTGCATATTTATAAGCCCCTATAAAGTGGCTAATATTAATGGTAATTTATTTATGACCCCCGCCCCGGAGACCGAATTATTATCGAAACCCAACAACGTATCCGAGAGGATCATAAAGCTCTACCTTCTTACTTTCTGCCTTTACGCAAACGAAACATCTAAACCTCCGCAAACCAGATAGTAGAATTGGGAGCAAGTTTGAACTTAGCAAAGACTGTGGTTGCAAGTTACATCTTGCGTTTAATTAGGCAAATTGCATTCGGTCCGGGTACTCGGTTTAACGATGATCCACGTCATACGGTTTGGAAACAATTTTCCGGACCGAAGGAGGAAAGAAACGAGACGGTAATCGCAGTTTTCCGGAATTGTTTCTGTAATGGGGGGCGGAGCGTTTTTGTCGTACTCGGATGTCTCTCGTTTTAGTCCCGTTTGTTTTCGACGCCTTTGGGTTATAACTATGGGGGAGTAAAAGAAGATAAGAAAATAACCGTTCTATATACACAATTGTTTATTTTGCTCTCGAACACCGGAGCCTTTACAGTTTTCACTACACGGGTATATAAACAGATTAATATTAATGAAGCATTGTTTTTCCCCTTTTTTTATTTTGGCGCGACTCACCACGCCTATTTATATGAGTTCTTACACTTACAAATATATCACAAGTTTCAGTGCATTATCGACTATTTCAAGTATATCGAATAATGATTTTTAATTATAATACGAATGTTTATAAATTATATAAATTTATTAATTTTGTAATAAAATAAATATTCTATATAATAAATTGGAAATTTTTAGGGATTATATTGTATTTCATTATTGTATTAAACAATGTAGGTTTTAAATAAATACGTTAAAAATACTAAACGTACATTGTCAAATACGTTTATATATTATTACGTTTTTAAATTAATCGCATAGCTTCGTTATTTATTTAATGCGTATAAATAAATTCCATTTTTTAATAAAAACCATTAATCGAAATACCCATTTAGGAAATTTTAAATATCCTGTATATATGAACAATAGAGTTATACAACTATTCAATTTAGCCCACGTTTTCATATTTAATTGTAGGCCAGTAGGGAATTCAAATACAAATACATTAATTCACGTGGAGAGTAAATGATAGAGATATATATCGGTATTTACTCGTTTAACATTTACATTTCTACTTATTATATGTATTTATATGTACAAAAATAAATTAGGAATTCCTAGTTGACTTATAACTACACAGTGATGATTGACATTTATTATTATAAATTAGCTCTTATCAGGTTTTTTTTAAATAACTTAGATTTGTCACCTGTGTGGTCGCCACGTTTGGTTTCTATACCTGCAAAGAAGCACCTTCTTGAAAGCTTGTCTGAAGACTTTATTGAAAATAGTGTAGAAAATTGGGTTTACCATCGAACTGGCGTAACCTAACCACGTAACAAACTGCATCACCCAATTTCCGATGTGTTTCTCACATTTTGGGCAAAACACCGGAAGTAAGTTTAACACGAAAAACGGCGCCCAAAGGATAACGAACGTGAAGAACACTACACCGAGCACTTTCGTCGCTTTCTGTTCGAGACGAATTATCCTGCCGTGTCTTGACGAGTTTCTTGAAATGACGCTTGAGTTTCTGCTGTGATGAGGTCGTACGTTTCCTGCTGTTCTACTACTATTACAATTATATCTTTGAAGTAAACATGGAGATGAGGGGTTTTTCGATTTATCTAAATTATGAGCGGCGTGGCCGTTGTGTTTAACAGTTGCCGCTCTTCGTAGCAATAAAGGAGTTCTTTGGTTTTGAGAAGTACTCAATGAAGTTTTGGTACTTCCAAAACTAGATCCCCTACGATGACTCTTCCTTGATTCCCAAGTAACTACAATGTTATTAGGTGAATGATCTCTATTTCTATTAATAATTGATCTCTTAAGTGGAGACATCGAAGATTTTTCTATATCTAAATTTATCCTTTGAGGTTGAACCGGTGATGGTGTATTTTCAACCGGCAAACTATTTCCGATGGTCGGAATTATTTTTACCTCCGTCGGAGGTGGTGGGGGTGATTTATCTGATTGTTTCTCCCCAAAATAAGGACAAGTACATGGAGGAGGAAGAGGTAAAGTACTAATTTCGGATGGGATTGACGTTGAAGATGATTCAGGTGGAGTGTATCTAATCTCGTGGAAGCTAGAACCCCTTTTTCTCCATTTAGGTTGGGGACTCTCATCTCTTTGATCACCTTCATGAAAAGTTGACGCTCTTCTTCGTCTCGTTAACCAAGAAGATGGAGAATTTCTATTACTAAGAAGTGGAGATGCTGAATCTGAAACGCTCTCTGTTGGTTCGTTTGATCTAAAACAAACATTGAAACAAATTATGGTATTGATGTGCATGAAGTGAAAAGTTTCTAACGATCGCTTAGGGAGAACTTGTGAGCACACTTGTTGCATCTTAGAGTGAGAGAAAGAGACGAAAAAACGGAACGAGTAATCCCACAAGCGCGAAGCTTCCATTAACGCGCCCCCGAACCCCTTTTGCTTCGTTAGCATCGTGTGGCACAAAACTGGGCTAAATACGACCCAAAAGACCCCCTCAACCGCGAGCTTAATGCGTTTTTTCTTTAGTTCTGCACCTTGCTTCGTTATTAAGCGATCCCGTTTAATTAACATCTTCATATTCAGAACAAGATTCCACAAAAAAAGGACTGTAAGGTAATAATACTCACTCGATTTTGCTACTTTTATTGTTGTCATTAAGTTGATGATTTTGTTTGGAATTGTGTGTAGATGCAGCTTCGAGTCCACGAGAAAGTTTAAGCATTTCAGCACCAAACTGACCCAAAGCTGACATTGTGCAAGGTGCCGGTTCCATCTCCTGTATCCACAATTCGTGTGTATCGATTGTGGTTAAATCGGTATCCGTTGATGCTGCCGAATGACCGTGTTGAGGCGTTGCGGGACGTCGAGTAGCGTGCAAGAGACGGCGCCACGTGCAGCGACGTTCTGTAACAAATAGGAATTTTCTTAAAACCAGACATTATCACGTTTCAAGAGAAACAAGACTGTTTTTTAAGCTTTTCTTTTCAAGCTTTATTTTCAAGTTTTATTCAAGTTTTTTTCATATCATTATTTGAAATAATTGAAGTATTCATAAAAGTTTTTACAATCTTATATAAGAGATTTGTAACTTCGTACACTTCTTATACTCTTTTGTACAACGGTATTATTTTTTCCCCCTTAGAAAAATGTTATACAATATTTTTCCGTTCTGGCTTATATCGTATATCACCGTTAGTAAATGGCGCGGATTTGTGGGCAATCATTTGGCGGTTCCGACAAAAAAAGATGACGCTAACGTGATGATTTATAACAACACCAACATAGCAGGTACCAGTCGACGATTGAGTTTGTTTTTGTTTTGCCAGTAACTTTTTTAGCGTCGCGACGCTCGAACTTTGCCTTTTCGTTTGTTGGATGTTACGCGATTGATAAACGACGGTTTAGTTACAACGCGGTTTCGTTTCGGAACGAAACGTGGGAGGAGTTTGATGTTGAAAATTGCGTTTAGATAGGCTTCAACCCGTCAGAAGTCGGCGAGCTTTTATTATCTCTTTATCTGTTGCTGTGCGAAAGTTTCACTTCGGGTTACTTTAGAAAATGAAAACAATGACTGTGGGGTGGTAAAGTTTAGATATTAAGTTGAAGGGGGCGAAGATACCGACGTTACCGAATCTTTTTTTGTTACTTTGGATACTGAAAGAGAGTAAAAAAGAAAGTTTGATGAAGGATTTAACGTGATTTATATCGTTCGATCTATTTTTAAACGATTTCTAAAAAAACCTAGTTAAGATAAATTGATCTGAGTAATTTATAAGTATTTAAATTGTGTTTGGTGTTAAAACAAACGTAAATGTATAATAGGAGAATAACAAAAACTACAAAGCAGTCGTTAAATGATATTTTATGATTATCATTCGTCAAATTGACGATGTTGACGCACGGTTTAGTGTACGTTTAACGTACAAACAAATTCACTTATACGTGTGTACGTAACAATTCAAGTCAGCCGTCTATTGAAAAGTAAATAAACGTTGGCAAAATCAGCTACCCGAGGAGCTGGTGCTACACCTGAAAATAGCCCGATTGATTAACAAAATAAACTTTACCGAAAATCCCCGCTCTCTAATAACATGTTTTGAACACAATTTCGCAAATAGTACTACAACTCGTCACATCACTTTTTCTTACCACTGTTCTCCTTCGTTACGAGAACATACATATAGATAGTGAGATGCCACTCTCATTCAGAGAATGCACTCGTTTCGTTGAAACGGCGGAGAGAAAATTCAGATCAGCAGAAGAGATTTCATCTTGATTAAATTCGGCTGTTATGTGCAACTTCAACTTATCCTCAGGCTTTATACTTAATAGGCAAGGATTTTACTTTGGGCCTCGCCAAGGAAAACTTGCATTCCCTAGTTGTATCGATCAAAAGAGCCTTTTCAAGTCGTCCAGAGTTTCTTATCGATCGGCGGACCGCGATGAGAAAGTTCGCGAAGTGGAAAACCAAAGGGGGGCTATTGTAAGTGGAAATTGCACGGAGATGAATGAAGAGGAACTGGTAGAGACTGGGGAAGAGTTCGCGATTGACGGATTGGATATTACTTCGGTAATTCTTGGAAGTTTGGATATAGATCGCAAAAAGACCACCACGAAAGTGGATCAGCAATAGCAGCGCGGATGTTAGGTCTAAAAATGAAACTTGGATGCTTTGATGTTTAAGGCTTTTTCTAATTGGATTTTTGCAAAAAATAATGTTCAAATTAAGAATTTGCACTATTATGTTTTTGGTGTTTATTAGATTTAATGTATAATGAGAGTTATATCGTATTCAAGTATATAAGGTATCTGGAAAAGTGGAAATCATATTATCCGTTTTAGGTTGAAAACCCAGTTTGTTTCATCCTATGATATTCTTGGTTATGAAATTATTATAGAATATGGTTATGTCTAGAAAATCTTATATGGGTTTCAATTTCAAATCTTTGAAATAGACTGTACCATAATTGCCAAATTTATGTTGCGTTGTTTAGTTTTGCCAGCAAGCTCGCAAACATCAATTAAACATAGATATCTTGCATTATCGCATCGTTGTCCGTACGCTTCTATGTATAGTACACCTCGCTGTTGCGATACCGTAATTACATTCAATGATTCGATAATCTATTACCGGTGTTGGTTACTTTCCTTCCGTTTCTACTATAATCATAGGAGGTGAAATACGTAGTATTGGTTTAACGATTTTAATAACTTGCTTTAATTACACAAATTTCTAATATTTTACCAATGTCTACAGTTATAATTTCTGGTACAAATCCATCAAACTAGTTGCATATTGCAGGTATCATTCAATACTTTCTCGAAAATATAGCTTATTTATGGATTTCTGTTGCCTCATTAGTCAGGAAGCACTCAGTGATGCGCATAATGTCGACTTCGGAGCAAAAGTTATAAAAAGGAAGTCTAATTGTCGCTCATCGCTGCTTTACTTTTTGTAAATTTATAAATCCTTCTTTTAATTGCATCTAGTCTTCCAAAAGCAGTGTGTAGTCGTTTGTAAACAATATCTAATCTCCTATTAAGAGTATCCAGTTTTTCATTTGCATTAAGTATTCTTCTGGAAGCAGTATATAGTTTCCACCAAGCAGTATCTAGTCTTCTGCAAATAATATCTAATTTTCTAGAACGAGAATCTAGTTTTCTATCCTAACTCCAAGCAGTATCTAGTTGTGGATATAAATAATTTAGACTACCATTTAGACTACTATATATATGGACTACTATTAAGTCTCCTGCAAGCAGTATCTAGTCTTCTGCTAGTAGTATCTAGTCTTTTGCATCTAGTATCTAAGCTTCTACAAGCAGTATCTAGTTTTCTGCAAATAGTATCTGTTCTTCTATAAGCAATTTCTAGTAATCTATAATGAGAATTTGATTTTTCCTATTATCATATAGTTTTCTATATGCCATATTAAAAATGATTGTTGTTTGTCATCGAGTTACTCATAAAATACCAAAAATTTTACTTCTATTCTCTTTTATTTATTCTTTAACACATTAAAAATTTTAATGTGAATTAATTTTCAAACTGAGAATTATTCATTAATTTATTATACAACTTCCAAACTGCAATAATGAAATAGTTAAACCATCGTTCGACCTTTTCGCAATTACACATTCAGTAATTTGCAATTGTAAAATTGAAATTCACATTTACACCTTGTAATAATTGTGGCGATGTTGCTTTTAGATGACGCAATTATGACGATTCGAATATTTGTTTGTTTGTAAATTAAAATGTTCCATAATTATCCCGATTTATTTTATAATATTGTTTTTTGATGCTATAAAATAATGTTGAAATTTATTTGTTCGAGTTTGTAAACTGAAATCACAATACCTATACAGTGTGATATAGCAAAATGGTCGCTCGGGGGCAATCATCATCAATCACTAGCGACTACTAGATTCAGAGAGTGAGTGTGTTGTGCATAAACACGACCCCGAACTCGTTGTGAAAAAAGCACCCGCCGCGGTCGGTTATTGATGTCGTTAGTTGATTTATTGGCATCGCGGGTGTAATAGCGAGTTAAAAAGTTTTTAATTACCTAAACCAGTAGTCGAGGGTCCTCCCAACCAACCACTGGACCAATCGGGAGCTCCCAAATTTTGCCTTTGCTTCGCCAAAAGTCGAACAGTTAACGCATAAGTGAGCAACATCACCACCAGTGGGATGTAAAAACAAACTATTGAGCCTATAAATTTGTATGTTGCGTCAGGAATTTGGCACTCGCCTTGAATTAATACAGAGTCTTGATCCTGAAAAATAAAAGATGTTTTAAATATTGCATTATTTGATATTATCTAAACTTACTTTTGAATACATTAAGCTTAGTGGTAAACTCATAGCGATTGAAAGTAACCACACAAAAACAATTTTAAGGGTGACTCGTCTTCTTGATTTATTTCGCCCGAACTTCATTGGGTACCTCAATGAGAGGTATCTATCCACGCTGATCGTGCAAAGATGCATGATTGACGCCGTACAGAACAGTACATCCAAACAAATCCATGCGAGGCAATAAATCGATGGTAACGGGAAATAACCTGAAAAAAAAATAGGAAAATGGTAATATTTATTATTGCAGTGAAACTAACGAGCGCGCGGTTGTTGACGATCGTTTCATGATTTTTACAGTTCATTAATCAACCGTTGACCGTTCGCCGACCATTTTAACTGGAAAATATGCATTTTTCATTGCAAAAAATTCATCGTTTTATTTACAGATCTATTTTATTTACGAGTGTGCATCTAATTTATTTTTATTGTTACTATTATTATTATTGCATATGAAAATGATGAAAATATAATTTGCGATATTGAACTTTATATGGTACTCAAATGCGAAGTGTTTTGCTTTGAACAATCCGATCTGTTGTTATTTATCCGATGATACTCCGCGGTTCTAAACCGCGTTCGCTGTTGTCCAATTTCCAAATTTCAATTACGACGTGGGCGCGTGGTTGTAATTAATTTCATTAGTTCTTTGACGGCGCCATATTCCACGTTTGAAACTGTCGGATTTTCCCCCCTTTATTGCGAGAGCCCACTTTAATGAAAGTGCCCCGGTTCGTGGAACAGCACTTATTACATCTGGCAATTAGTTTTTACTCTGTCACGAGAGGAACGTAATCCTTTTAGAATGACACCGAAGGGAGGATATTTTATTATATTAAAAAATCTGTTTTTTTTTTGAATAAATTATTATATTCAAAGATTTTTTATTTAATTCTTAGCTTAGCCCTGTTTTTCCATTCCTCCTCTTCCTTCCACTCTTCTCTTCCCACATCAGTTCCTATGAGCTATTATCTTGTGATGACGTCCTGCCAGCGTTTATGTGGTTTTCTAGGAGTCGCTTGGTGTCTGGTCTTTGCCAATCTTTCCTCACCCATCCTTTCAATATGATTCCTCCAGTATCTTCTCCTCGATCTTGTTCATCTGACTACACTCGCACATCTCGCAGATCCTCTCGCTTATTACCATGTCACGTCTGTACTAGTGCTAAGGGTTGGGTTGGGTTGGGCTTTGTGGCTCTCATGATTTGTTTGGTTGATGATCTTTTGACTCTTGTCTCGGGTGCGTATATTAGCAGTGGTTTTACTCAGTTTTTATAGATCATGACTTTGCTTTTTACCGTCATGTGTTCATTCTGCCATATGATGTCCCGTAGGCAACCAGATATTGCTGCGCCTTTGGTTGCCTGTGACTTCACTTCATTTTCATTTCACTCCAATATATTTAAACTGCATGAGCTGTTGGACTTACTTTTCACCGATCTCCAATTTGCATCCTGTTAGGGCTATGGAAATGACGTTTGATTGTGTTTTTTGAGTAGAAATTTCCATGTTGAATTGTTCTGCGGATGTTTTCAGTTTGAGCAGCAGATCATCATCATTTTTACATCATTAGCATGGCTTATGATTTCCCATTTTGTAACCTATATTAGTGTACTTGACGCTACTTATAATTTGGCTTTTGATTTTTGTTCTATTTTTCGTATTCAGTTATTAATTGATTATTTTAAATTATTAATACATTTATAATTTTCTTGGTTTTTTAAGATTTGCTTAGATATTTTTAATAAATAAATATTAAATCTGCGCAGATCACAACGTGAGGTCATACGTCTGTTGAATTAGAGGTAGGAAATTGGACAAATTGATCTCTTCGTCCCAAGCGCGCTTGAAATTTCATGAGTCGCATCAATCAAATCCAACGGGACAAAATAACGCTTTTTTTCCGACCTGATTTGCAACTAAAAATGACATTTCCGAGTATTTTTTGTTGGGGTTTAAAAAAAATCTAACATGGAAACTCAATTAAACTTAATCATTTTGCAGCATGAATTTGTTTGAAGTTATTTTTGGTTGTCCGAAAAAATGACATAAATTTTGATTAGATAATCAAGTTTCATGAATTAAAGATTAGTTTTTCAGTTTGTTGGAAAACTTAATACGTTTTATGCAGAATGCTCAAGTTTTCCTTAATTATACGTAGGTAATAAAGGGAAAGAACGATTTGGACAAGATTTCCCTTCAGGAGAAGATCAAATAACGACGACTCCTAGCTACTTAGCACAAACTTTGCAAGTGCAGTTGGTTAAATTTACTGATGCGACTCAGGTGGGAAGAGTAACATCTGTGCAGAAAAGCTCCGATTGTCTAAGAACTCTAAAACTTCTTTCCCGCAACTTCTCCGCCGTGATTAACCCTCAAGACGATTTTAATTACACGTGAGAAACTTGCAAGTTAAACCAAATTATTTGTTTAGTTAAACAATTTAAACAGGGTTTAATATAATATTTACCTGCTTGAAGATTCGATTACATTTTGTTTAGGAAAACTTTTCACCAGCATGAAATTTGTTTTGTTTTCCACTCGCTAGATGCGCTTGATATTGATATAAAAAGAATGAGCGAGCATATCGTGCGGTTTTCTTGGAAACTAAAATCCGATCCGGTTCAAACTTGTTCCGTGCTGAACTCGGAAACGACCTAGCTCGCTTTCGATTCACTAAAAAGATGTAGAAAGTTTTTAATAAAACTTCGAATCCATCTAGCACGGTAACTTTCGTATAAATTTCTTGACGACTAATTTTCATAGATTAAAATGAAATGTTCATTGATTGATTTAAAATTGAGAATTTACCCAATTATATTAATGGTTTAAGCGAGGAAAAGTTTTTAAGTAATTTTTATAAAAAAACGTGATCGAATTAATCTCAGAATTCTATCACGAAATGATCTATCTATCTAACCATTGTTGTGGTTCCAAAATCGAGGTGAGTTCGGAACCTTTTAAAACTTTGCAATATACGTGCTCTTAAAACAGTTTCCGTTGTGTTAACTATCTCCGGAAAGGAAAGTATCTATAAGCTATTAGCTATAGTTGACGAAGTTTGAGGAACGTATTAACCTTCAAACTCCTTTAATAATATTACAAAAGTTCAGTATCAAAACTTTATTTAGAACATGTAAATAATTTAAAACTTGGTTTCTAATTTTATCGTCAGTTATAACTTAATGTTATATATGATTACCCAGAAATACCTAACTATGTATACATAACTTGAAGAGTTCACAGAAAAGATTGAAATCTCTCTTGTATATGTAACGAAACTAGTTCTTACTCTCTTTCTATAGAAATAAAACGAACTTTATAAAACGACCTGGCATTTCAGAGGAACAAAACTGATTTAGGTGAAGTTTTCGATATTTTTTTAGGTTCTGTAAAGGAAAATAATAATCAACAATTTGGCTTTAGGACTAATAAATCCACACAGGACGCCGTTTTGGATTTCTACACATCGGTTGTAGAGAGTCTCGATGCTCATTTTGCTGTGGTCTGTTTTTTGACCTATCTAGGGCATTCCACATTAGCTGGAACCCAGCATGTGTCAGAGACGGCCAAAGAGGCATTGGTAGGACATATCGGAACAGTTTTCAGCATATTCCTTAAATCTGTAAATGGTAGTTCTAGCCACTAACTCTCTTATAGTTAATCAGTTACTATCTTTAGCTAATCATATTACTGGTTAACCAGTAATATGATTGAACAAGGCAATTTGATTTTTTTAATGTTATGTAATTTATCTTACTGCTCACTGTATTTTATTACTTTTAATTACTTTTAACCTTTAAATCGGATTTTTCATAAAACGTTATTATAATTAAAATAAAATCAGTATTTTAATGATCATTAAAATTTAGTATTGAAAATCTTAAATTATATGCCATTTTTCATTAAGAGGATAAATTAAGACAGCTTTTATGAAAGTTCTAGTTTACGTTGAAGCCGACCTTGGTAGTTTTACCTCGGACGAAATTGCAATTAATATTAAATGCCTTTTTATACAATCTCCGCTAGGATATTCCCAGTAATCCGACTAGTTTTCCCTGGTTTTTGTTTAATTAAATTTTATTGTTGCCAGTCGTTGGGATGGATCGACGTCATTTATTACTAAAGGGGGAAACTAACCCACAAGAACCTTCGTTTCGTGATTCGTACTTTGCTAGTTCGTACTTTCCTAGTTCCTACTTTCCTAGTTCGTATTTTACGTACGTTCGTGGTGCCATTCTAGATTTACGCGACCGCAACCGGAGAAGTATTTATTTTCGGTGTGAATGTAAACGACGAAAAGCGAGCTCGTTTTCGCTAATAGAAGTGCAGCTGGCGTTCAACTCGACTTGAATGATAAATTCCACACTTCACGGGGATGTGCTTTTTTATTTTTATTTTTAAACCAAACAAGCAATTCTCGTTAGTGAACTAAAAATGTTTTTCTAATTTGTATTTTCACGCCGTCCAGGAAATAAAAAATGATACTCTGTCCTTTTTTTATATATTTTTCGATCAATGTTTTCAATGAATTTTTAAAATTCATTTGCGGTTTTTTACGTTAAGCGGAATCATGAGAATTTAAAAAGACATCAATTTTTGTTTGGAAACTTCCATTAAATGTTAAATAACTTGAAAAACAAAAAAAAACGGAACTGTAAAGTAAGTTATCAATAATGGATTGTTCGTCCCGTGCAAATGGGAAAATTGAAATTGTTAAAATATGGAACTCCCCACTTTAATTTCGAAGTGAAGTCGTGCGGTCAAAAACTCGAAGAAACACAATATTGAAATTTCGTCTTGCTAGGGGACCTTAAATGCTTTTTCAGGGGGGCTGTTAAGAAACGAATAAGGTTTGGGAATAGGGGAGTCCCAATAGGACAAAAAAGTAACAAGGGTGGTTAAAAATGATCGCTTAACCGCGATGTAAGAACTAAAAAACATGACTAAGATAAATCTACGATAAAACCACCTTTAAGATATTAGTGATTTTTTTTTAGTTCAAGTTAAATATTAAACTAGTTACCGAGCACAAAAACCTGCTAGTTTTCCCATAGAAAGTTATTTTTATTTTATTTTTCTATATAAAGAACCGCCAGCACGTGGAACCGGATATAACACGTAATATTAAATATTACATGATTTGATTCGAGTACATATAGAATTAGCCTTCTACGTATACAATATTACAATTTATGATCCGTTGGAAG